GGGGGGGGGCAACATGCAGGTGAAAGGCTGGAATATTATAATGAGCTAGAGCTAATGAGGTCAGAAACTACCCACTCCTGAAACCTCCTGATTTATCTCCTGGATTCAGACTGAGGCGGCCCACAAAAACATGACTGAGTCTTTTTTTTTTCACACTTTGCCTGCTGATAGGCCCTCCACAGTCCCAAATGTACACAATCAAATGATTAAAAACTTGGTTTTGCATAAAATGTCCCCTTTAAGGAAGAAAACTACAGAAACGGGGGATGAATATACGATCCTGTACAATATTTCTGGTTTTAGATGTAGGTTTTTCTCTCCTGTGGCCCAGTTCAGATCATCTTTCAGTGAGGTTCTCCTGACTTTCTGAACTTTCTGACAATAAAAGCACTCTTGAAATAACAAAAGGAGATATCCCTTTAATGTCTGTCATATGAGCTGCTGTTTAACCCTTTAAAGCCTGATCCAAGAAAAAAACTTTTTTTGTCGTCTTTATTTGGCCCTTTAACGAAATATGAACAAAAATAAACAGCAATAAACAAATCCTGATTTATCTCCTGTATTGAGACTGAGGCGGCCCACAAAAACATGACTGAGTCATTTTTTTTCACACTTTGCCTGCTGATAGGCCCTCCACAGTCCCAAATGCACACAATCAAATGATTAAAAACTTGGTTTTGCATAATATCTCCCCTTTAAGCAAACGGAACTGAAACATCTCACTCCCGTTTGTATCCGGATCTAAAAGCATCCGAACGGCTAAACGTGTGACTCGGGTGGTGAGAGCTCACCTGGACTTCCCCGGAGAGGGTGGCCATGTTGAAGGTGAACTGGAGCTGGGAGTCGGTGAGCTCGCAGCCTTTGGTCTGAGTCGCGTCGGAGCACAGGAGGGGCGTCGCCCACTCGAACACGTACACACAGCCCTGGAGCCGGAGCATCTGCGGGGAGCCCTGCACGCAGATGTGGTTTGTCACGATACTAACATTTTCAACTCGATACCGATACTCAGGAAAATACTCGATATTGGATACCAGGTCATGTTGTCTCCGATTCTCCTGAAAAAAGCATCATTTTTAAGCGATTTCCTGTTTGGATCGCTTAGTTTTTTAGATCTCTGATTTGCCTAAAAGGTAAAACCAGTAAGTTATCCATAAATAAGCATAAGCTTGGAGTCTTCACATAAAGAAATTCATTCAAACCACTGGATTTTTCAAACCAAAACCTCTTCCTTCTGCTTTATAAGTACTAGGGTTGTCACGATACTAACATTTTCAACTCGATACCGATACTCAGGAAAATACCGTTACTCGATACCATTTTCGATACCACAAGGATAAAAACAAAGACCCCCAAATTTAACTGAATTTTGACAGGTTAGTGTCTTTCATTTCAAACTGACCTGTAACTGATGTTATTGTGACTGGTGGCCCACATTAATAACCCTAATCCTTTAATTTTCTAACCCTGACCCTACAGCCTTCATAATTGTGAGAAATAAATATTATATAATATAATATGTTTGGACTTATTCTACAAACCTATTCAACATTACACCATTTTAACATAATATTATGGATATAGTTTAATTAAGTGTTTGAAAGATTAATTTCAATATTTTTAAATTAATGTTTATATTGCCATGAGGCATTACCATTTTCTTGCCTGGTATCTCCCTATTGGTGACTTGGATGTGGGCGGAGTTGGATATGTACTTGATTAATGGTAGCACGTTATTATTAGCCATTAGCCGATGGTAGCAGTTCAAGGCTAACGGTAATGACCATAAACAACGTAAAAAAATACATAAACAAATCTGACAGAAGGTATCGATACTTTTGAAAATGAGTATCGTATAAACCATATTTTTCCAGGTGTTATACCAAAGGATGTTGAAGTTGCGGTATGATACCAGATGGTTTGCAAGGACAGGCCAAAGCATATCTGTTAAATGTCCTTTTTACAGCTGCCCTGAAATGCATCACAATAAGGTGGATGCAGCTGGAGCCTCCTTCCTATGACTTATTGGTCCAAAAAGTAAGGGAATTGTATAAAATGGAAAAGATAACCTACTCATTAAGACTCCAAAAAAAAAAACTTTTAACCTGGGGGCCAGCAGAAGCAATGTTGATGTAAATAAACCCAACAAGTTTGTCTCTTGGCATATGATGTTTAGCTATCCCTCCCTAAGTGTATCCTTATTTTGGGGTTGTATGACGATAAACCTACAATTGTGACTAAGATGTTTATTTACGGAAAACTTCATATTGTCAACATTTGTGCCATGTACCTTTAATGCATGGTTGTATCATTGCTCTGCAAAAAATAATAAAAGTATAAGTTATAAAAAAAGAAAATGAGTATCGTATCCGGATACAACATTTTAGTATCTATACTTAATAGAGTATCGATACTTTTGACAACCCTAGTGGAGACAGCTGTGTTAGTAAAAGCCCACGGAGGAGTATTGGCGGTACTCAGCCCACTGACCAGCTCCAGGCCTCTCTGGCAGGTGAAGACGATGGTGGAGGTGTAGTTGTGGGCGGGGTCAGCCGCACACTGGGTGGAGCTCCGGTAGGTGATGGACACCTCGCCCGTCACACTGTTCATCTCCAGGCCGCTCGTGGTGCGTCCAATGTCCTTAAACAGAGGAGGGGGGGAGGATTTTTAAAACAGAATCTCTCTGTTCTAACCAATTCCTTTTATTGACTTTTTTTCTTTAAGTTTTTTGAGAGCATGACAATCCAGTGGTAGTTACTTTCATGGAACGTACAATGTTACTAATGCCACTTAAAATTATTTTTTGTGAAGTAAAGTTAAGTAAATTACATCTAACAACTTTGAACAAACTGGGGAAAATAGACTCACATGAAAAAGCAAACAAGTATTATTAAAAAAGTATGAAATAAAGTGTGGGAGACACATTGATCCTTAGAGACAACAAAACATTCAAATAAAATAAAATATATAACAGCATTGCGTGGTCACCCATTCTATACATCTGTCTGTTCAAGACCAGCATATTTAATCCACTTGGCTCACCTTTTAGAGAATATGTTTCTTTTAAGTCGGAGAGAGAAAGGTGATCCTTTCCATAAGGTAAATTTAATTTACAATACTTATCCACTCCTGCATTGTGGATGGACTAACCAATTCCAGGTCTTGTTACTATCGTTTTACCTAATTCCAGTTAATCATCATTTAACACTAAGATACTTTTTAAAATTCTCCGCTAACAATCCCTTCAATATCATAGTACATACCTGCTTTGTATTATTCAGTAATTGTTCTGAGTATTTATTTAAAATGTCTATGAGTGTCTGAAAAGGCAACTCCAAAGAAGGGCCATAGTATTAAAGATGATCCTGCATATCTTTACTCCATATTAGTACTAACAAAATACGTGTGTAATTAATTAATTAACCAGTAATTGACCCTCATTATTGTTAAATGTGTAAAGTTCTTACCACTGGGGGTCCGTGATCGGGGTCCATGCAGACAGCAGCTCCTGGGGGACAGGTGACCCCAGGAATGGGGTTCAGAGGCTGGCAGACGTTGATGTAAAAGTCTGGAGATTCATCGCTGTCGTCCACGTCTTCGTCTGAAAGGAAGGAAGTGAGGCGTCCACTTTTGACCGCTGACTTTTGATTGCATTTTCTTTTCCTCCCTGCTTCATCTCGGCCCATTGAAAATTTTACTTCTCAGTTTTGTTTTGTGGTGTTTTCTGTTTATTTATTTGTGTTGTACTTGCTGCTCTCTCATTTTTAATTGTCTATATACTTTTTTAAAAATGGTTTATTATTGACATGTTCTTGTACGGTATTAAGGAAGGATGTGGGTTATTACTGATCTGTAGCATAATCTTGTTGGATTGGGGAGGGCTGGGGAAGGGAGGGAATGAGGGGTTGTTGCTTTTGTAAAAATGAAAAAAAAAAATCCTTATTTTTATTATTTTCATTGTTTGTACTTGACTTTGTCACATGAATAAAAACATTATTTAAAAAAAAAAGAAAGGAAGGAAGTGGAGGGAAGGGGCTTCTGGTTGGTCTTTAATGTGATGCACGCTGCTCTGGATGCTCTTTATTTTCCACAGATTTAGGTGGGAAAGCTTGGCCAACTCACCTGTTGCTGTGTAGTATCCGCTGACATGGATGAGAGGAGTCAGGTCTATGAGAGAGGAGCCATTTTGGACCGAACACTTTACCTGGTGAAGACAAGAGAAGAAAAGGAATGTCTCTATGGCATTACACACAGAGAAATTTACCCTTTTCTGTCCTGTAACGACTATAATGTGAAAGGGCTGCAGCTTTTTTTTCCCTGAAGTACATTAAAGTCACTTTTTTTAATCACCATTTCTTGAAAAATCCAACAGAATCCCAGGCTTCTTCTTCTTCTCCCTCTTTAGAGAGAGAAGCAGGCTGAAGCTCTCCAGCCCACAACTCTCTTAAATACAATTAAGATATTGTATTATGTGATTTTGCGTTGTTTTGTCTTCCTGCCTCAGGACGACAGATGTAAATTAGCAACTATGCTAGAATCTGCCTCATTTACAATCTGTACTGAAGTGTAAGATTGTTTATTAATGAGCAATGGCCTGATTAAATAAATAAAT